TGTGGAAAGAGTTGTAAAAAGAGAAGGGGGAAGAGATTTCCTAGCAGTAAACCCCACTTTATTTTTAGCCAAGTACATAACTAATTCTTAAGTTAAGTTCATGGACTTTTGGATGAGGTTTTTATGAACTATAGGATCTTCTTGTAAATGTCATCATAGACACTTATAGTATATGAGTATGTTAGAAGAATAGAAAAAAGAACATTTAAGTTGCTTATTGGAATCAAATTCATTCTCTCCTATACAGGAGATGCAATGACTTCTAGTTATCTCTTTGTTTGTAGCATTTTGGATCACTTGCCTCCTTAAGACAGGTTGTGTTTGTTTTTAAGCTAAAACTTTTTTTTTCCTGAAAATAAACAGGGAATATCACATTCTCATATTTAGTAGAAGTTTTGAAGCAATATTCCAAGGTTTCATTGATTTCTACAAATACAAAATGCTTGTGTTTGCTTTACTTCATTCTCACGGTGAAAGATGGATATATATATATTTTTTTTTGGGTACATTAAAATGTTTATATTAGAGTAAGACATGATTTCATTTAAGGATAAATTATTGATCTCTTTAAGGATTTTTAGTGAGATTATAAATTGTTTATTTCATCTTAAATTCAAGTATGCATAGAAGAATATAAAATGAGAAAAGTCAGATTAGATGATAGGTTTTAACTAATAGGAACAAATTCTTATAAGACATGGATATTTTATATTATTGGAAAATATAAATTATCTTTAGAGTAACTACTAACTAATTCATCCTTCCATATTTTTTCTATTATTATTTTTTAATTTTTAATTCATTAAATTTTATTTTTTTAATAAAATTATTAAATACTCCTTTTAGACTTATATATAAGTAAAAAATGAAAAAAAAAATGGATTAAAATATAAGTAAGTTTCATTAAAGTTAACTTTATTTAATGTTTTTAATCTAAAAAATACTCCTATAATAATAAATGAGAGCATTATCTACCAACCATGAATATGGTAAAAGATATTTTAGAAAATGTAATGTATATTTTATAATAATTGTGAGAGTTTAATTCATTTAATGAATTTTCTTAATATGTGTGAAATTTGATTAATTTTCGTTGAAGAACTTGATTAGTCATCTTTAGTGGGATTTTTCTTCCCAATTATTTTTTTATATATATAAAAAACTTAAATTTTGAAAACTCTCTTAAGAGGATGAAATTCAAATACCATTAAAACTAATGACTTGCTGGTAAATATGCAATGTTATATCTTAAAACAAATCTTTTTATAACACCGAAGTGTTATTGTAGAAATGACGATGTTTGTTACTAAACATTGAGTGATTTTTCATGTCTTGAACATATTTTTTTAACTTGTTTTACTTCATATATTTGGTAGATATTAAATGAATAGTTAAATCGTTAATATTCAAAAAGAATAAATCTCGTAATAATGATGCCATGAGTCAAAATTGTTGAAGGATTAAATTTTTTTTACCGAGGGTTAAAATTTCTTAACACTGACATAATTAACTGTGCCACTTACGTTAAATTAATTTTGTGAAAATAATATGGTATCATATTTAATTTAAGGAAAATAGTTATACTTTTATTTTAAATAATTTGGGAGTTCCGATTTCGCATGTCCTGATTTTCTTCGTTTAAAGATGGTAAGATGAATTATCTTGAGAATAACTTGTTTTAGTTGCTTTTTTTGAAGATTCACCTTTTTCTTTAAAGATAGCATGTCCACGTCTCTAAATGATTCATTGTTTGATGCATCAAATTTATAGGAATCATCAACTTGAGTGCTTCAAAAGAATGTGATATTGCACAAATTTTTTTTTTGTTTAACTCAGGTGTTTATCCAATTTTATTTGTATAACATATTATTGGCCTTGATGTATAAATTTTTGTTCGAAAATTTGAATGGTTATTTTTATTAAAAAAACATTCTTCATCACATATTTTATATTTATAAGACTCAAATCATAGATTTTATTAAAAGCAATCGAGCTCATTATTGCTCAAATTAACAATTTGTTGGTGATTTCATCGGATTTGAGATTACTCATTTCTTTAGCTTTTTTGGTGATGGTTACTTTTGGTATTGAAGGATTGGATAACCTTCTCAAGATTTTTCTAATATGATGCAGATTGTTGTAGGTTCATCTAAGAGGATTTTAATCCATTAATAATTTGTTTGAAATCTTTCAAACAATTGGCCTATCAACACATGATCATGCATCTTGAAAAGTTCATATTGGTCCACAATAATCCACAACGCTTATTATTATCTTTTTTAACTCTTTCACTTGGTGTGGTCCTTTATGAGCAACAGTGAAGATATATTAGATTTTTGTAGTGGTATTTTAATGATAAACTAAGGGCACAAGTGAGAATATATTTTGCAAAAGTATTTAATTGGACTCAGACTTTTGATCATTTGTCTATTTATCTTGGCAAATTTCTTCTCCATTAGCATTCCTTAATGAATAATTCAATTTTGTCTTTCAAATAGTAATAATTTTCTCCATTGAATATCAGTAGTCTTTTGGCAAAAGTTCCTTCAACTATGTAAGATGTTCTTGAGTCTTCCACACGCCACACATTCTAGAACCATGAATTTTAATTTTCTCTACATATATTAGCAGATGCTTTATCAAGTTTAAGTTATTATATCAAATAAAACGTGATCAAGAAAAAATTATGCAAGTTGAATTGCTTTGTTCATTGAGATGATTTTTATTTTTTATTTTACTTTTGAAGAGATCAGGTAATGTGCTTCTTTGACTATTATCATTCAACAATAAATAATTATCTGGTTGATTTTAAATAACTTTCAACAAACCATTTTAATATCTTCATATAACAATTATATATATATAGAGAGAGGGAGGAGAGTTATAATAATATCAGTGTAACTTTTATTAAATATATTATATCATTCAATAACTTTATATTAAATGTGAATTTTGTAAATCCAACCGTTAAATTGAAAATTCATATCACTTTATATTGTTATAACAAATTTTTTTAAAATTGAACAACAACTTGAAGCTAATCAAAGCGTTCATATTTTAGTATATTTTGAAATAAATATATTACGTAAATTTTATAAAAATAAAAATATCAAATCATCTTGGATTAATATTAAATTTTGTATATATGACCTAAGAGTAAAAAACTTTCAATCTAACGGTTGAATTTACAAAATTCACATTTAATATAAAGTTATTGAGCAATATAATACTTAATAAAAATTACATCAGTGTTATTATAACCCTCCTCATATATATATATATATGACTCTCAATCACAACTTCAAATTACCTCGAAAAAATAGAAGAAAAAAAATAACATTGTTATTATTCCTTGCACCATTTAAGCAAGATAGCATTCATATCCATTAATGTATACACATTCTATAAAAACATGATAATTGTAAAAGTTTTTTTATCGATTGAAATTATAATGATGATAACATAATTCAAACTTAGGACTTTTTATATTAACTCCCTCTTATCACAGTGGCTAGTAAAAAATACCATAATGTAGATTAGCAAAATATTGAAAAATTAGATAATCACTAATGAGAATCAAAAGAGTGAAAGATTATGTATCATCTTATTATCATGAATATTTCGAGAATAGACATAGTATGTATACAAGATAGAATCATCTAACTAAGATACTAATCATTATATTTTTTATGATCAGTCATTTTTCATTATCACTTTCTAATAAAACAAAGAATGATCATCATTTTGTTGACATAAGTTGTAGAAAGAATTGATCTATGCGAGATCATAGTAAAAGATTATGGGATATGGCTTTCAATTTTAATAATTACCGAATTATGGTAATTGCTTTAATTTGTGTATAGCCATAAATAATTATACTTTTTGCAAGTATATATCACCTCATGTAAAAATATTATTCAAAAATAATGATTCTTGCCATGTTAGTTTGACATGATATTAGAGAATATGATCCAGACTTGTTTCTTGACTTAGCCCTTATTTTTCCATGGCTAATACAAGATCTCCTACATCTACTTTAATCGAGTTGGTTACAAAAATGTTAGAGGTTTTGAACCAAGTTTCAGCTCGTCACAAATTAATGTTGATCATATTATTGCACTAATTGGCATTAAACTGGATGGCAACAATTACCCTTTTTGGTAGCAGGTGGTCGAGATGTTTATCTCGTGCAAAGACAAACTAAGATATATCAATGGCGATTTACCAAAACCCTTTCATATAAACACTACCTATCAACGATGGTGGACTAACAATGCAATTGTTAAGGGATGACTAATTAACTCCATGGATTCCTCCCTTATTGGAAATTTTATTCAATTCCCCAAAACCAAGATGGTGTGGGATGCAACCAGGACCACATATTTTGATGGTAGTGACATGTCTCAATTTTATGATCTTCAACATCACGTGACTTTTCTTAAGCAGGTTGATGGCTCTCTTGAAAAATACTATAATGACCTCCAAGGAATTTTGCTTTAATCCATTTTGATATGTGGGGTTCATCTCTCCTCTTCCTTTAGTTTGTGACATTTGTAGATGATTGTACTCAAATAACTTGGATTTACTTATTGAAGCAAAAAATGAGGTATTTCATACGTTCCAAGTATTTCATCAAATGGTGTGATTCAATAATCAAATGTGTATCCTTTATTTTGATAATGGTGTCGAGTATGTAAATAAAAAATTTCGAACTTATTTTAAAAAACATGGACTTAACCACGAGACCTTATGTCCTCAAACTCCTCAACAGAATGCCATTATAGAATGCAAGAATCACCACATCTTTGAAACAGCTTGTGCTCTTTTACCTGGAGCACTTGTGCCTAACCATCATTGGGTGAATGTTGTGACTACTACAATTTATCTCATCAACAAAATGCCATCAAATGTTCTTGAATTTAAGACTTCACTACAAACTTTGTCTACATTTATGCCTTTTCCCACTACACAAATGTTCCCACCAAAAGTCTTTGGATGTGTTGTGTTTGTTCACTTGCATAAGAACCAACGAACAAAACTTGACTATTGTGTTATTTGTTGCTTTTTTTTTTGGGATATGGTCTACATCAAAGGATATCGTTGCTATAACTCTTCTACTCGCCACACATATATAACCATGGATGTTACATTCCTTGAGTTTGACACTTTCTACTCCCCCACATCATCCAATTCTTCTCTTTTGAGGAGATACAAGGAAGAGTCAAATTGGCTAACATTTGACTGGTTTGAGGATACCAATACATTATTTGATAAGGTTCCCCAAATTCAAACTACTCCAATAGAAGTAACTACAATAACATAATGTCTTCCAAAAGTTGAATTATTGGAACCCCCCCCCCCACACTCTAGAACCTCCCAATGGTCCACCTCTTGAGAATATCACTA